GTCATCAAAATGGCGGTTCTGCAGTTTTCAAGCACGTGGAATTCAAAGGCTCATGGCCATAATTTAGCTTGCTTTACCTCGATTCTGAAGTTTTTTACCTTTGTGTTATTCAGCAACTCAATAATGTAGTTTGAGCTGATATATTTGCACGCCTGGGAAACTAAGTATTGAACAAAATGCAAGCAAAAGGAAAATGTTCTAATAAAACTTTTTCTTCAAAAAAGCTAAACTGAAGAGGAGCTTTAGTCAGCAATGAAAGACCGTCGATTCGTCAGCATTGTCGCTCGGCAATGAACTCCAACTTTTACAGCAGCTAGAGAGTGCAATATTGAATAGCACTTACATGCCAAGCATGAGTTGATACCTCTTGCACTCAATCATCACAATTACAGGCGATGTTGCAGTTATCAGAATGTCTGTCGAAGTCATTTGAAGGAAACGATGCATCTAGCTTTCTCAGATCGGAAAGTTACGGAAATGCGTGCAAGTATTGCTGGCAAGCCATATTTCAAAATTTCAAAACAAATTGTTCAATAGAGAGACAAAAATTACATCAGGACCTTTTCGATACAGCTTCATACATGGAAGTTTATACATGCTTTAACACGATTCATAATCATTGCGTAATCAGTGTAGTTCTTGAAAATCAATTACATATCAAGGCAGCTTTGAAGTTAAACAAGTCAGCGAAGAACGACAAGAAATTGTACCCAAGGCACGAATCGGACCTCAAATCTAAGTTTCGACCCGTTGGCATTGATTCTTTTCCCACCAGACAACTAAGAGGCATCACAACTGGTAAGCAGAAGCGTGTCATAGAATATGACCATCAAGGCAACAACCTGTTCCTATGTTTCTTCAACAAAGGGTCATTGTAGGTCCACATAGTTTCTTTCCGCCAATTGATAAAGCGAGTTTGAATAGAGAAAGACATGTCTTCTCTTTTATCTGTTGATAGAATTTTATTGTTGTAGAATTCACTTTTTTGTCACTGTATACAACCGTTCGGATGAACTACCGTGCGCCATCCAAGGCTTTCTTAGCTAATTTATAGGAAATAGCCAAGTTCTCAATATGCTGGTATTTTAAATCGTCGTTAATAGGTTTCCCAGCCCTGTAGAAGAAGGATGTCTTATCACACCCTGTGATAGCATGGAATGCTGGCAGGGAAGAACACAGTTATTTGCCGAGGCTTCTGCAAATGCTTCCAACTTTGACGAATCTCTCATGGTCATAATTGTTTAACCTGTGTGTTTATACGCCCAAATTAAAAGCACAAGAACGTCAGTGTTTTTTTGAGATAAGGACTACATCTGATTCTTGCATTACTGCATGAAGCACAAGCCGAATGTCTACGCCTTTGAGAACACACGAATGCAAGAACAAAGATCTATTTCTTTAGACTCTGTATGTTTGTATTCCTCTATGACAATGAAGAATACTTAAGGCATAATATCTATAATATTTACGTATCTTGAGGTGGAAGGCCAAGGCAAGACATGAGACTTTATACAGCAAGCAAACTCATCTCTATATTCACACACGTGTTTACATTCTGTCTACGCGTTGCCCAGGGGGCCTGGGACCTACTCTACTACATTGCTTCTCCTTTTTTTTAAAGTCCATTTCTTAGCTATTAGTTTTTTTTGTTTTACTTAAAATGTCAACTTGATTGTTTTTGTCACTGTAAGATATGTCGTCATCGTTGTCAGTCTCTGTTGGTTTTGGTATACGTTTGTAATGTGAGATGTTACGTGTAATCTTATGATCATGTTTGTTCTTAGCTGTTACACGTGAATTTGTTCTGGCAGTTACAACGTATGGAGTCTCATTGTATGTTGGTGTCAGTTTATTTTTGGCTGTATCGTAGGCACTTGCTTCACCGGTGTTTTCGAGCTGATCAAAAATCTCTCTAACTCGGGGGCCAGCTTGGTATAACAACAGCGCTCGTTTACGAGTGTTATCGGCGATGCCTGCAGCAACAGTAAACATTTCAAAATCGGAAATCCATTTTTTCCACGAAATCGCGATACTTGCGCCAACCTCTCCGCTATCGGGATTAAATTCGGGAACAGGTTGTAGTGAAACGGCGTGCGACATACTGGTGCACTGGTTTCCTCTTATTTTTACTCGTCGCCAATATAATATTTACGTATCTTGAGGTGGAAGGCCAAGGCAAGACATGAGACTTTATACAGCAAGCAAACTCGTCTCTATATTCACACACGTGTTTACATTCTGTCTACGCGTTGCCCAGGGGGCCTGGGACCTACTCTACTACAATATCCTTTCCTTGCTTTGCACAACCCTTGCAATCCTCTTTACGGGCTACTTTAATTTTGCATAGTGATGACGAATCTAACTCCATCTTACATTTTGTGGCATTTATGCAAGCCTTGCAGCATCAACTTTTTACTCGATGATGCACGGAACAGTCCGAACGTGTTGCAATAGAAAGCGGCACCGGCTTCTATATTCAAGCTCACTTCTTTATTAGAGTGAAAAAACTTTTTGTACTTTTAATAAGCTAGACGATCGAAACATTTTTTCTTTGTTGACTCGTTATCTTTCGAAACTGTCTTGATATGTAATGTAATCCAAGAGCTACTCTGACCATGCAATGCGTATGAATCGTATTAACACATGTATTAACTTCCATGTATGTTAATATAAAGTTGTATCGAAAAGGTCCTGTGTAACATTTGTCTCTCTATTGAGCAATTCGTTGTGAAATTTGGAATATGGCTTACCAGTAACTCTTACATCAATTCCATCAATCTTCAGGTCTGAGAAAGCTGGATGCAAAGTCAGGGACAGATTTAAGCGGCAAGGATAAGGGCGCGGGCTGTTAGATAATAATTGAATTTTCGTGCCACACCATTCATGTCACTGGCAAATGATGGAAACGCCTATCTTTAAAATTCGGTTTTAATTTCAAGATAAAGAAGATAACAAGGTAAACAAAGAAAAATCTGGGCGATATTTGATTACTGTTGATTACCAAAAAATGTTTTTAAACAAATGGAAGCAAAATTTGCCAAAGGACACAAATTGTTGAACCACCCCCTCCCCCACCATCATAGTAAATCTGTCCCTGTGCATCGTTTCCTTCAAATGACTTCGACAGACATTCTGATAACTGCAACATCGCCTGTAATTGTGATGATTGAGTGCAAGAGGTATCAACTCGTGCTTGGCATGTAAGTGCTATTCAATATTGCACTCTCTAGCTGCTGTAAAAGTTGGAGTTCATTGCCGAGCGACAATGCTGACGAATCGACGGTCTTTCATTGCTGACTAAAGCTCCTCTTCAGTTTAGCTTTTTTGAAGAAAAAGTTTTATTAGAACATTTTCCTTTTGCTTGCATTTTGTTCAATACTTAGTTTCCCAGGCGTGCAAATATATCAGCTCAAACTACATTATTGAGTTGCTGAATAACACAAAGGTAAAAAAACTTCAGAATCGAGGTAAAGCAAGCTAAATTATGACCATGAGCCTTTGAATTCCACGTGCTTGAAAACTGCAGAACCGCCATTTTGATGACATCATGCAAACTTTAAATAGCAATAACTCGTTATCTGCAGGCTTGATAGAGTTTATTCTTTAGAACTTTTTGCTCCTATTACAATGCCAAACAAGATGGTTGAAGCAATTTTTCAAAAAAGAGAATTAAAAATTTTGATGACCGGGGAAAGTGACGTCATCGATCACGTGATTTCTATTGTGTTACAAAAATGTATCCAAGGCTTAAAATACTCAGCAAGGCTGAAAGTACCCAAATCAAGAGCAAAAACTAAGGTTAGGCACTTTGCTCGATTGTTGTTAAAAATTCCCTGTCTAGATGGTTGGGGAGCGAACGACAGCTGGAAAAGATTGTGGGAAAATATTAAGGATTTCGCCATGAGGAAAGCAAGAAAAGCAGTTTTTTAAACATTAAATTAACTCTGATTTTTAAACTAATTTGTTTTAATGATTTGTTTTATATAGTCACTAATTACATGTTCTGTTAACGACCTTAAAATACAAATTCAAGTGTTTCAGGGGCGTTGATTTCAAAATGCATGCCTTTTAAAGTCTATCTAACTGCATTGCTAAGGGCGTAACCCAAAAAAGGTTTTTGCAGCCTTCGACGGTGGGGCCCCATGACAGTCCCTGCCCTGGGGCCCGGCCCGTCTCTCGACGGCCCTGGCTACATAACTTGCATGCTAACAACGGCATAATAATTAACGCGTGACATGGGCATAATCTTTCTCAAGAACTATCCCAGAGGTCTTCCAAAACTGATACATCTCCTATAAATATCTCAAAACGACTAAGAGCAAAACGTAGGCGACAAGATCTTTCACAAGCATCTTGCCCCTAAAACGGTGCATGCCTAAACTGCTTTCTCTTGCTGCTACTTTTCCATAATTCTTACTGCCTAAGATGGGGTACGGGGCCCCCATATATACTGAACTAAAAACAATAGACATACGTAAATGAAACGGTGAAAGGAAGTAATCTACTAAGTGACGAGCGGGGTGGGGTAGCGCGATATCCTTAAATACTGGGTTGCTATGGCGATCTACTTAACATGCTGATAATTGACGTAGGTATGAAGTTACTCATAATAATACAAAGATTATCCTAATACACGTGATAGAAAAATGCGGAACGAGCAAGGAAAGTTACAGATTAACAAGTTACAGATTAAGTTCTAGGGGGGGGGGGGGGCAATTCGAGGATCTACGGTATGTACCTTGAAACGTTAAATTGAGTGATGCAGAATAGTTACCTGACAAAACATTGCCACAAAACGATCCAGAAATGCATTTGATTAGATCAGAGCTTTTGTCTTAAAATGTACTGTTCGACGGCCATTTTGAAAGTGAAGACGTCATCATTGAAAATTGCTGACATCGTTAAAATACTGATGTGTATATATCATTGGAAAGCTTTCCTTCAGGCGAGTCCGAATCTAGCGTTTATATTGAATTCAGACGTATACTCAAGAAGTTACAATGGTTTTGAGTCTAGGAAACATAACCTTTTTGACGTCATCGGTAACGTGACTTTGATGAATTTTTGAAAATGTTGTAAGGGCTTAACTTATTCCAGCAATCATCGAGAAATTGATATTTCCAATGCTCGTGTTTTTGTAGAACACAAAAATTTTGCATCCGTATAATCAAGATAAAATATGGTCGTTAGAATCCTTATTTACTTAAATTTAATTGAATTTCTAGTTATTACACTAAAATGTTCATCTTAGTATAATAAAAGAAAGCTTTCCATGCGACTGCCAGGTTTCCCATTCGTATGTAATTATTCATAACAAGAAATTCAATTACTTGCATCACAGTCTATCAAATACCCGACCTGCTTTTGATGAATGAATTTCGAAATAAAATTTGAATGGATCATAAAACTTATACAATTGACCGACCAAAAATAATCGTGAATGCCGCCTAATCCCTGAACAACAAAACAATGCGAATAGCATGCTGATTGCCAGCAGATAACTCTATTTGTTCTTATGAGTTGTCAATAACAACAAAATGCGGTAGTTTAGCTAGAAGCGGAAATTTATCACCACTTTGGAGAGAGCCGATCGCTGTACGAACAAACATGGGAGTTTGGTATGCTTGCAACTTCTTCATTAATCAAAGCATTTGCTAAGATTCTTGATTTTTAGTCCAAGTTGCGTTGTATTTAAAACAGCGAATATGAATTCTGGTAGTGACTCCTAGAATCCTAGAACAAATCATGAACACGTTGGAAAGTTAACGTATCTGATTTTAAGAAATAAAAGTTATAATTATTCGTTACAAGAAATAAAGGTCGACACTCCGTACTCCAGCTTCTTGATGCTTCAGTAAATTTCAAAGCTAATTTGTATGTGACACATTGTTTTGATTTTGATGCTGTTGATTTTGATTTTTTTCTTACATCGACAGAAATTTCAAAGTTCTCTGGTTTTCAAAATTTATGTTCCGCTTCGAATACTGAGTATTTTTAATTTTTTTCTGACTATCTAGTAATCTCGTCTTATAGCAAGTTTTTTAAAGTAATAAAGGTTGCCAGACTTTTGCCCTGCTGTTTTTCATCTGTCTGGCCTGTTACTCAAGACCCATAGTGAAAAGACGACAAATTTGAGTGCCATTGCCAGGACTGGGAGTGGCGAGAGGTTTTAGAAGCCCTGGTAATGGTCTCTACTTTTTTCAAAGCGAATTATTCGCTGCCAATTCGCAGATGAAGCTTTACTTCTGCGCATATTTTTTGCGCATTCGCAGCGTTAAATTTGCTTCCTACAAAAAATTTGTCTCATGTGAATCAGGCTCAATGAGGTGTATAGAATATACACCTCATTGATCAGGCTTTAGAAACAACAGCAACCACATAAACTTCTCGAAACTGTTAAAAGTAGCAATACACCAAAACATCCAAAATGAAACCTCAAAACAGGACGTGTTAACATGGAGTTACTGTTATTGCTATACCATAAGGACGTGTCAATTTTTGAGTATTTGGTAGGAGAAGAGCTTGGGAGACAATTTTCGCCATAGAATAGCGGAAGCAAAAACTAGTTTGGTGATGTCGACAGACAAAGCGACTTTAGCATTGTTTTTAGTCTTGGTCGTTACTTGTTAAACTATATACGCTAGAAATGACATAGGAAGCTGTCGATTAGGGTGGAGATTGGGTTGTCTGCTACTTTAACTGTTTGCAGGAATCAGGGCCAAATCTCGATCATAATATCTTTTTCAACCCGCAACTTTGTAGTTTGGGGATGTGGCAACCTTGTACAGCCCCAAGTATTCACCCCTGTTTAGATTACATGTAAGGTCGTTGACAAAGAATGTGGACATAGAAAATGGTATTTGCCCTACGCTTTCGTCGAATGCCGCAGTGATTCACCTTTTCCAAAGTTATCTTCATTACTAATCAGATTTGAATTTTATACTCTAATTGCTATAAGCTACTCCCACTAAACATTTTCCTTTACTTCGATAGTCATTCGTCACAACGTCCACCAAGTACCCACTGCCGTCCCAGAGACCAAGGTATTGATTTTCCGCTGCTAGAATATTCATTCCAATTGGTTTGAATGATTCTAAAACATTCAAATTGCTTTAGGACTGTCTTGCTTTCTGAAATGTGCCATTTTTGAAAATGTTGCATTCGACTTCTGTTTCCAGGATTATTTTATAGTAGTTTAAACAAATCATACAAATGAAAAAATCGAAATCGTCCTAAAGTCGTATTAACAAGATACCCTTGATTTTTTCCAATTAAGAACTGTTTGGTCTAAAAACCTTGTGATTTATTTGCAGAAAACATTTGAAAAAACACTTTTATTTCACTCTAGCTGAACTTCCATTACTCCTTCCTCGATTTGACGAAATGAGATATTTTAAAGGAAATTGAAATAACAGCTCCTTTTCCACATAAAATTAATATCAAGTGGCTTTCACCTTAGGACTCCATTAGTTATATTTTCTAAAGGCAAGCGGCACTGGTTGGGCAACCTTTACAGTCACGTGCTTCAGTTTCTCGTCGGCCTATTTCGATCCACGACCGGGAACATATTTTTTCTAGCCCTAAGGGAAGCACCTATATTTTTAGGATAGTGATGCCCAGGTTGCTTTTTTGGGTCTAGAATTTGAGCAAAAGTTATTTTTTGGGACAACCAATTGCACAATCGCATTTTGGGTTCATAAAATTCTTGAGAATTCCAAATTACTTTTTTAGGATTCGAATGTGAAAAAGTATTAAAAAATAGGGAAAAAAGGAAACATTCTTGCGCAGTGCGAGAAAAAAATATCTATTTTAGGCCAATTTTTATGCGAGAAGTTGTCTTTTTGGCTTGATGGTTTGTACCTGGGCTTAGCTTAGAGTTTTCGATCTATATTCTGACGTTTTATATCTTGAAAACTGTCAGACAAAAAGCTCAAGTATGATTCAAAATGTTTCCTTTTTTAAAAGCTGTTTTTAATATTTGTACCACCACAATATTGCTTGCAGAAATAATAAAGGTTAGAAGAAAGTGTTTAGATTTTTTCAAAAGCTGCGAGCGTTGTTCAGCTTTGCTGTTTGCTTTTGTAGATACTCTGCCAAACAGTCACCGTAGCGACCATAATAATCATGACGATCACTCAAGCAATCACCCAAATCATAACGAGGAAGTCAAGTCAATACATTCTTCCAATCACTCACCAGAACCTGCGCCAAGGGAACACTTTCGGGTCAAACAACCAAGTTTTGAATGTCCAAGCTTACATCTGGGTAGCGACGGCAATCATACTGATGATGAAGATCACTTAAGCCATCACTCAGATCATAACGAAGATGTCAAGTCAATACATTCTTCCAATCACTCACCAGAACCTGCGCCAAGAGAGCACTTTCGGATCAAACAACAAAGTTTTGAATGTCCAAGCTTACATCTGGGTAGCGATGGCAATCATACTGATGATGAAGATCACTTAAGCCATCACTCAAATCATAACGAAGATGTCAAGTCAATACATTCTTCCAATCACTCACCAGAACCTGCGCCAAGAGAGCACTTTCGGGTCAAACAACCAAGTTTTGAATGTCCAAGCCTACATCTGAGTAGCGACGGCAATCATACTGATGATGAAGATCACTTAAGCCATCACTCAGATCATAACGAAGATGTCAAGTCAATACATTCTTCCAATCACTCACCAGAACCTGCGCCAAGGGAACACTTTCGGGTCAAACAACAAAGTTTTGAATGTCCAAGCCTACATCTGAGTAGCGACGGCAATCATACTGATGATGAAGATCACTTAAGCCATCACTCAGATCATAACGAAGAAGTCAAGTCAATACCTTAAACCTTCGACACATCTCTGATCAGATTGAACAAATTACCCAAAGATTCTTAGCTTATCATAAAAGATCTGCTTCGGTTGTAAATCTGAAATAATTTATAACTAATAAACAATGTGTATTGACACAACAATGGTAGGAGGTAATGTTTAGTTGTGTGAATCGTTGAAAATGTTATAAAACGCTTTTTGTAGAAGAATGTACCTACATTTCCATTCCTTTCTAGAAAATATTCAACTGAATTCCATGGTCACCACACAGTCGAGCCTGCAAGCAGGCAACTGAGTGGCGTGGTTGCAACTAATCCAAAAGGCGTGGTTGCAAAAATTTTCCCATCCTTTGGATATTATGTCCAGATACATCTAAATTTATTCTTAGGAAATATATAGATATAACTTTTCTTACTGTTGGACATTATACGACGTTTATACTCCAGGGCCTCCGACCAAGGAGGGGGGTGGCGGTGCCATGGCTTTCTTTAAAATAAGAATATAGAGCTTTTTAAAAATCTTTTGTTATGCTTGTTAAATTTTTCCATGCTGTCCCCCATTTTCCAACCAGCGTCGGAGCCTATATACACTGACGACTGTCGGTTGGCAAATTGCTAGTGTACATGTACACTAGTTCGATGGTGAACAAAATGATTTTGGGCTTTCTCTATCGGAGGGGCACAGAACATTTTTCACAACATTGATGAAAATGACTTCAAACTATAACCCGCTGGAATGATATTTTAATCATACAGAAGAAAATTGAGACTAGCTTTTCGACGCTGAATAGTTTTTATAACTTTTCAGGAAAAATTCAATGGCCTTTGCAACAGCTTCGTTTTTTTCTACATGAATATGTTATCTGCAGTTTTAAATATATAAAGCTTAAAGATAATTAACAGAATTGGGCTGTCGTTAATCAGTGGAGCAATGAAAAGCCAGGCAAACAAGGCAATGCGGTACCTGATCTCAGGACGAGAGTCATGAACAAGCCAACAAATTTACAAATAAAAAGGTTCTACTCGTTAGTATATAATAACCTATGAGGTAGTAGTATGGTGAATCAAAAGCTAGATACAATTCATCAATTATAAATTTCAATTTTTTAATTATCAATTTTTAAAGACGTGAATGGCAAAGAAGGAAAACTTTCGTAAATTCTTTATTGTGAATTAATTGACAATTGGGGATAAATATTAGATCAACCAAGAATATATTTGACAATATTTCTCGTTGGTATGTAACTATCATTTTGTTATGTTTGTGATTGTGATTATGATCAAAGAAAGTGTAGTATGTGTTAGGTATGCAGACCTCCCTAGAATTTTTTGTGCCTGCGAGCACAAACTACTTTGTAAAAGATATCTGCGAGCTTGTTTTCATATGTAATGCGTAGGATATAAAATTGTTTAATATAAGACACATAAAGTAAGTTTTAATAACGCAAAGACCAGTAAATTTTCAAAGAACTACTTGAACAGAAAATTACTTTAGAATGACGATGGTTTTATCAACAAAAAATAGGATTATAGAGTTTAAACAAGCTTTAGCTTACGACAAAAAGGGAAAATTTGCAGCAATTGTGTCCTTTATTCTATTTGAGCAATGAACGAAATGGCAGTCGGCTATATCGCTTGGTATTGTTTGATACTACTGTTAAGGATGCTTTCAGCTTTTTTCATGTTTGGATTATTAACAGCACTCACAACTTTCATCTCTTGCACGCTCCACCCAGATTGGTAGTTTGTCCTAAAATTTTTTACACGGAAGGCTTCAATCAATGACTTGCTGCAGCCATGCAAACAGAATAAAGAATCATAAGAAGATTTCTGGACATCTTGTTCTTGCTGTTAGGATAATCTATTAATCCCCTTTTTGCTACATAAATCACATAAATACAAAGCGGTAAAGCTTAATATTAACATAGTGAAACTTGAAGCTGAATTGCTTCTCTAAATTCTTAAACAATTTAAGACTTTGAAAAAGACTGCTATTTCAGATGTGCCTGCAGACATAATTTGATTGGCATGGTTTGCCTGCAAGCACTGCTCACACATTTAAGCAAGGCCTGTAGGTATGTGCCAATGAGATTAAAAAGGAGTATCATGGATTCACAAGATGCTCTTGCTTTTAAATACACATGTTCAATCGTGATCCTTTTTAAAAAAACTCTCTTCTGCCTATGTTTTTGGCAAAGAGCTTCTACTTCCACTGATAATCATCTAGTTTGCTACATTGTCTAGGAGCATGAACTAAAAATATTGACAATAATGATTAGGTAACAGACAAATTTTGTTTTGGTTAGCAATGGTTTTGTAATCCAGCAGCAACTGAATAAATCATAAACAGTCCGCAAAATTTGTGGATTATGTGTACCCTGCTAGCTTGACGTATCTTAACTACTATTGGGAACTCTCTCTCTTATGCCTTATTTATGTTGATAAAAAAACCATTTGCCTCTTGTCATCTCTTTTGTTTACCTTAATGCATAAATTGTAGAAAACAAAGTGTGAGAGTCATGTATTGTTATCAGGATAAGTTTTAGCATTGCTTTTCAGACCCAACTGGCACAGCAGCAAACATATGGCTTTTCTTATACTATGCAACTGCTAAGTAAAAGTTGTATGCAGACATTGTTCCCTGCCTGTTGCAGCCAGAATATTTGTAACAAAAAGAACTTCTAGCTGACTTATAAAATAAACATTGCGGCTAACTAAAAAACATCGATGACTAGATATAAAAATTGATGTTCTTAAACAAGAAACAGATCTGATTCTCTACAGCAGTGATGCCAAGCTTAAAGTGTTTCCCAAGTATATATTTAAAATATAAAAAATTGAGAACCTGTGCTACCTACATAGGGTCTGCGAGAGCTCAAGTTCTCAATGGCTATGATATGATAATTATTTTATCATAAATCTTGAACCACCATTGGGGGGAACACTAAGAAGCCACACATATCCTTCTGAGTGAAAGGACTGCAAATATTATTTTTAAAAAGTTAGCAATACTGGCAAATTGAAAGGCATAGTCCTGAAATTTTGCCTTTTTGCATGGCTATAAAACAATGCCAAGAGTTTCCCCTGCCAACTGGGAAAAACATCATATATTTTTGGCAATGTCAGTAAAGAATTCATTGAAACATTTTTAGCTACCAACTTGACATGGGAAACTGCTACCCCACTATGCTAAGCCAGTCGGAAGAGCAGTTTAAGCATGAGCTTCACAACAAAGGAAAAGTAGTCTGAAACAATATAAACATAATTTTCAATCTTAATGATGCTAGGCAAAAATATTAAAAGTCCATCCATTCTTTGAGATAAATACAATTATTAGGTGATATCTTCCCACCTTCATGACAGTCATTTACAACAGGACAGACACCACATGGCACCCTCATTAACCCAGCAACAGGTAAAATGGGCTTCATTGCTTTAAAAAGTTTCTTCTGTTGTACACCTGAGCCAGTATTGTCCAAAACAACAGTCTTTTCTACTTGACCATCAAAAACCAGTGTATTTAGAATGGTCTCTATATCCTTTGTGGAAAGGGCTACTTTGCTTATTCCTAGCTCAGATATATACTTTAAAACCTCACCAGGTGATGCAAATGATGCATTTTGCTTTGCAAGAGGGTCTATCTGCATTTCTTCAACTTTTTGTCTTTTCTGTTGTAAAAATTTGTAGCACTGCTGATTGAGAACATCAACAAACTCTGACTCAAAATCTTGGTCACTAAACCACGCTCCACCAGTTACTGATGAATCTGGTTCTAAATTATAAAGCATGTAAACTTTCTTTTTTCCTGCTGCCACTGAACTGACTGCTTTTATAAGCTTCTTGCTTTCTAGACTTTTCACGATCTTCGTCACTTGTGTCATTTGCAGATTGCATTTGAATCGTATATCCCTGACCCATATTCCCTTATTTTTAGAATCTTCTATTATTTGATAAATTAACTTTTCTTCCGATTCAAAGCCCTTAGTCTTACTAGCTGCCTGACTGTCCTTGAATTTGTAAAGCAGTGTGCTTCCACTTTTTAGGAGCTCTATTTGCCCGGTTGAAAGTAGACGATTAATAGCAGTTACTCTCTGTCTGGGCGGTATTCCAGGAAGTCCTTGCTGAACCAAAGCATCTGGAATTCCATTTGGATTGACTCTACACAGCTCAACAATCTTTGCTTCTAGGTCAACCAAATCTATCGACTCTTGTTTTATGGTAACATTCTCCGTACTCTCCATTTTTCGTAATAGGCCAAAATGGTACCCTTTCTCAAGGAGGCAGCCCTTCTGATAAGGTGGGAAATTGACGACAGTGTCATCTTATCGACACTTCATCAAGGTATATCTTTTCATATTCAATTTTTTCACATGATCAACCATTCAGCTATAAATATTGGCAAGAAATCAATATAATATGTAGAAATAGTCTAAATAGAGTCAGCTCTGTCTGATTCGAACTTTCCATACTAATTCGAACAAAATTCGCAGGCCCTTGAAAATCTCCTAAAAAACCCTCACGAAAATCCTCGATATTTTGAGCTTTCCCTAATTCGACTAATTTTGTTGGTTTCTTCAGGAAAATAACCTTTCTTTCTAGTTCAAGCTTACTGCGAAATTTTAGATTCATGCGGGTGATATAAATACTGTTTTTACTGAATGTCAAAATACCAGCCTGAACTTTAGTTTAATAATGATTCTTTTAAAAAAGGTTAAGTCCGTTCTTTGAAAGTTCTTTCTTTTTCTTTTCTTAAATTGGGCTGCCGACGGGGTGTAATTGGGAATTTTCGGGAGGGGGGGGGGGGCAGCTGCCCTCCCCCATGACACCCCATAGCGCCAACTTCTCTACGCTGCTTCAAATCTGTGTCTGTCTACCAGTGTTCTCAGCTTGCGAAGAATGCTCGTTTAGCAGAAGGAAGTTAATAAAAAACTGCTTCCGTCCATGCGCGGATAATGATCGCTTGTCAAACCTGATGACCCTGAATCTCTGCAGGAGCACTGAAATCGACTATGAAGAGATAATCGACAAGTTTGCAGCCATGAAAAAAGTAGAAAACTATTGATAGAAAAAATCTGACTTTTTTTTTGGCGACTGTAAAATGAAGACTGTATTTGACCAAAACGGAGACCAAACAATCGCAGTAAACTTCTACGGATTAACCAAAATTGATTTCAGACTGTCTAAAAATGCATTATGGGATGCTTGCGTAGCGCAATGGCTCATTGTTAGCAATGAGTCCTTAAAGAAGAAAAAATTTCACCTCTAAATAGGCTTGAATAGATGTTGTTTACACCAATTTTTAATCTGTTATATCAAAAATACCCCAAGGACCAGTCTTAGGTACTATTCTTTTCAACTTCTACATCAATGACCTGTTTTAGTTGATCCAAGAGACTTCCCATGTATAAAACGCAGGTAAAAGATTCTTAAAAAAGCCTACCGCAACTAATTAAAGTTTTGGAAAAAAGACAAACACCAGTACCCTCGAATGGCTTTGTCAGAATTGAATGGTAGTAAACCTAGAAGAATTTTATGGTCTTCTCATTATAAAGATGTAATAAATATCATAGGACACAGTATTTCCGTTCAAGAAATATCTAAGATCTGTAAATTTGCTTTTCGGAACTATAGATCGTAAAATATAATTTGACATTCACATTCTGAGCTTTGCAAAAAACCAGCAACCCAGCTAAATGTGCTTGAAAAACTGTAATAATTCCTTAGCTTCAAGGAGAAGAAGTTACTCATTAATATCATTAACTTCTCGAGGGGCAAAAAGGGGATTTTGAAATAACATTGTGCGGTCCCTCCCAATAATTGGCCTTTTGCCGCGGCACTGATTATTCTAAGTCGTCAATTAGAAATAACACAAAAGTAGGTGGTAAGGTTCCTGTTTAACTGCAGCACTTTTGGGTAACGACTTTACTGTCAGTCCTTCGAAAAGTAAGGTTTTGTGACGCTTCAAAGAGAGCAGTGCAAACAACAAACTCATCCACTGATTGCATTCATAAAGAAAACAGTCATGCCCATCGTGTCCTCTACCCAGGCAATGACTTACCGGGGGTGTGGGGGTGTGTCAATAGCAATTAAATGTTGTAAAAGTTTTAGTTCATTTACCTTCCTATCTACTTTATCTTTTAGTTAAAATGCAATTGAAAAGGTGGGCCTTCTCCTCATTTTCTAGGCAACTGAAGAGTGTGGTACAAAAATCTTATCATTATCTAATACCCCCTCTTCCAATCCTTGCCTTTAAAATCCGTTTCTGCCTCTCCCAACACTTCAGTGAAGCCAGAATTAGGCAGGCAATGAAGCTAGATTAAGAAATCTAACGAAGATTAGAATTTTGATTAAAAATATATCAAAGAAGCTTCGAACAGAGCTTTTTTCAAAAAACGAAATGGATATTCTTCTACAAAAGCATTTCAAAAATCCATACATTTAGACATTTCGTGCTACAATTAATTGTTGTGTCAATGCATATTGTGTGTTATAAATTATTTCACATTTACAACCGAAAATAGACTAATAATTCCTTGGTCTTCAACGATTTGTTCGACATGATCAGGAATGCGTCGAGTGAATGGAATGTAATGACTTGACCTCCTCGTTATGATCTGAATGATGGCTTGTGTGATCGTCATGATTACTATGATTTGAGTGATGGCTTGAGTGATCGTCATCATCACTATCGCTATGATGACTACTCGGTGGAGTATCTACAAAAACAAACACCAAAGCTGACAAAACGTTTGGCAACAACTTTTTGAAAAGTACCAGAACACCCTTGATCCCATCTTTAATCATTTTGTGTGGAATTTCGATCAAATTATTTGATTAAATCAAAGCGAGAAAGGAGAAAAGGCTGCTAAAGCAACATGAAATTTATATTTTCAAATTAATTTTATTATTTAGACATAATGTTTTGGGCCGAACTGGAAGAAAATAAGAAATATTCTGATCAGAAGATTTTGATACGATTTTAAATTTGTCACTGGTAAGATTGCTTTAAAATAGTGCTAAATATTTTCTGTTTGAATATGTCAGACAGCTTGAATTGTGTGAGACACTTCAAAGCAAGCTGAGAATCGATCCACTTCCTCCAACACGGTCGGTTGCTTAGTTGGCTTTTTGGATTCAATAAAGAACCTCTATTAGAGGACATTCAATGGAGGAACGAATCTTTAAAGAGCTCTGATGTGCTATACTTGCTATACAAAAAAATGACACACTTTACAGAGGAAGAAGGTTCAAAATCAATTAAAACGTATATGAAATCATTCTAAGCGATTTAAAAGAGTAATCGATTCTAGAAAAAATGTACCTGGACCTCTCATGCGGCAGTGAGCTCTTGGTGGAGGCTTTGACGAATGGCTATCGAAGAAAATGAAAATTTTTATTTGGGAGTGCCAAATTTGACTGTGGGACAGAGGAGTAGCAATCGTTCATCGTTCATCATTATGATTATTTGGGTAATAGTAAATGGAATATTTATTCCTCTAAAGGGAGTCATTTCCATTCAGCGTGATCGCTGTAGTTTCATGTGATATCGACATCCGTTGTTGACAACTTGCTTATGACAGAAGCTGTTTTTTTAAATCAGTACGAGGCAACTTCATGTGATCAGTGTCATGCCAACCAATAGCATTGCAGCAAAAAATCACGACTCAGCGCATTCGGGTATACCCTTTCATCATGGCTCAGTGGCACTAGTCCAAACACTTTATGCTTCGTTGATTTGCACTTTGTTATAACGCAGCATTGTTTGCACTGATAATTGGGAAAAAAAACAGAAAACCGCCAAGTTCACTCAAAGTAAAACCGCCGAGGTTTTCATTGCACATGAGCGTAACCAAGATCATTCTCCTGCTGCTATAAAGTGTACTGTCATTTTAAATCTAAAGAACTTGTTCACAATTTTGTCTTTCTGTTTCATCTAATCTTAAATGGAAATATTTTATATTGCTAGACATATATTCAATAAGCTTCGTTCCTCTAGCGTGTGTGGGTTGTTCCATGCCCCGTATTCTAGCTATTAACAAATCATTTTTTTTAAAGAGCTGCTTTTCTACTTGGAATGGCGCTAAAAAATCTTCATTATGTCTTATTGTCAAGATACAATAAAAGCCACTTGCAGGCCTCATATGTGACCACAGATACCACTTTGGTCCTCAGAAACGTGCCAGCAAAGCCAAAAACTTTTCCACGATCTTTTTGCAGAATTCACGACCTCTGTCCCACAAGTTATCATTCGTCACAGACATTGTAAATTTTGGAAAGCTCTATCATTTTTTTTGCTTCGTGGACTCTTGGAGCATTGTTTTAAAAATAGATCAGCAAACCTCTCTTCTCTGTCCCCTTACCGCTCGCATGTAAGGGCTTTGCTATAGACCCCCAGGTTTCTCTCTGGTGCAGTCTACAACTTCTTTCAACTTGTTACACAAACGTTATTTCATGTGTATTGTTTCTCTCTGGTGCAGTCTACAACTTCTATCGACTTGTTACACAAACGCTATTTCATGTGTCTTGTTTCTCTCTGGTGCAGTCTACAACTTCTATCGACTTGTTACACAAACATTATGGCATTAGAGCCAATTGATTGCGCTACCTACATCAACCCGCAACTAGCTTAAGGCCAACTTACACAAACAAAATTTTAACAACAAATTAAGCAGAATATTATATCGCTATTAGGCCATTATATCGTTATAGGCGAAGAAATTAGTACTAGAAGCAAGAAATTTAGAAAAACCAAGAATTCAGAAATGTTGTGAAAATCATCGATGGAAGAACAAAATTAAAATCAACAGCATCAAAAACAAAACAATAAATCACATGCAACTTTCCAACATATTTATGATGTTGTTCTAGGATTGTTGATGTCAATCCATAGACACACTACCAGAATTCTTATTCGCTGTTTTAAATACAACGCAACTTGGACTAAAAATCAAGAAGCTTAGCAAATGCTTTGATTAATGAAGAAGTTGCAAGCATACCAAATTCCCATGTTTGTTTGCACGGCGATTGACTCTCTCTAGAGTTGTGATAAATTTCCGCTTCTCGCTAAACTACCGCATTTTGTTGTTATTGACAACTCATATGAACAAATGAAGTTATCTGCTGACAATCAGCATGCTATTCGCATTGTTTTGCTGCATTGGTCTTTCAGCCATATTCTTTTGTCCGTGGATTGAGCATTCATTATAGTCATTTTGCTCGGACAATAGTGTCCATTCACATTTATTGCTAAACTCATTCATCAAAAGCAGGTCAGGTATTGCCAGGCTGCAGCAAACCTGGCAGCCGCATGCTGAAAATTTCTTTGAACGAGGAAATAGGAGAAATAAAAAATGGCTCTTGGCAATTTCATCTTGGTGTGGTGAAATTGCCTAGTTCATAGTTCATATGTATGGTTCACCTCGCCCAATAATGCAACAAGGTCCTGATCAAGTAAAAGTGACAGTTAGCTGTAACTTATGTGTAGTCGTATACAGTGGCGAAGCTAGCCAAAAATTGTTGGTCCTGCTATATGGACAGGGCCACGCCCTTATTCAATAGGAAAAGCCCATGGACAAAAATTCTATTTTGCAGATGAATTTTTTCTTAAATTCAGTAAAAAGCAAATTTTAAATCGATGTCTATCTTTTGAAAAATAAACCCATACTTAAAGACGTGCTTTAGGGTGCTTACTTTTCAAACAAATCTATGTTAAATTGTAGTAAGCCTCTACAGCTGAAGTAAAAGTTCAAATTGGTGATAACTAAATATGACGATAAAAGGGGGGTAGGGGTGGCATTTGAAGTTGCATATCATATATTCCAGATTTTGGTCTTATAAACCTGACCAATCTAGATACTCTATTAAAATAATTTTAATAAAAAACAGAGTTTAAAGTCTGTAGGGGCAAGTTCACATATTCTGCAGAACAATTATTCTGCAGCTGATAAAGAGAGGTACAATCGAATAATGTGTCGCATTATCAATGAAAACAATTTTATTAGATAAACCATTAGACGAGAAAACAATTAAGGTAGAAAAATGCAAATTCCGCTGAAATTGGTTTATTCTCCAACTCAAAACTTTCAATCACACAACAGTAAATTCAATTATGCTTTCATCGTCCTTGTCCAAGTCTAAGAAAAATTTTATTTAGGCCACCATGATATACCGTGCCTCACACGATCGTACAAAGGCCGAAATCAGAGTGCCTCATACAGCCAATTCTTGTTGTTTACATTTTTTTTCTTGCGAACTTTGGACTCTGTCTTGTTACAAATAAAATTTATGCAGCTCAACTGAGGCAAGTTTTGCTGTCAATAATAATATCATTGGTATTGCCAAAGCAAGCAGAAAATCCGCATTCACATCGCCTCGCCACAATACTTGAACTGGCCTCCTTGCTAGTATCTCATAGCAGAACGAGAATGCACAGGGCAATTCTTGCAGTCCTGCTCTCAGAAATAGCAGGACCAAAGGTTTTCAAAACAATGCTGTTTGACCTACGTAGGTGAACCCTCAACCAATCAAATCACAACTGCTTACGAAATGTTATGATGGTCATTTCGACGAGGTCCTGCTCCCGAGATTGAGCAGGACTGCTCTTTGTTCTAGACTATTGTGAAGCAGGACTAAATTCACAAAAGCCCATTGTGAAGCAGGACCAAACATAGGGTATCATAGTTATGAGCAGGACCAAAATACAGGGCTGCCGTAGAAGAGAACAGGACCTTGAGATTAGCACGGTATGCCTGTATCAGCTGGCGGAACTGGGGACTGTTTATCAAAATGAATTTGAAACTTCCTTTTTGCAAAGAAGAAATTGTTTATTGTTTACAGTAAATTTTATCTTTGGAAATTCTTGGTCCTGCTCAGCAGGACCAGCAGGACCTTTGGCTTCGCCACTGGTCGTATACCGTAAGAAGCGAAGGCGATAGCGTGCAACTCATGTTGAGACTCGAAACTGACTCATGATCATAAGATTATTACAACAATAAATAATATTCACAAGTAACATAAATTAACATAGTTATGTAGACTAGCGTCCAGTCCTATTACAGTAAGGGGGGGGGGCATATAACCTTTTCCTTAGCTGGAAGGATGTTTAGCTAAAATGAACTTTTTATCTTTGACTCTGATTCTTCATACTTACTGTGAAAGTCACTGACATCTTGCAACACTATAAATCGGTAGATTAGGATAAAGGTAGGATAAAGTTACTACCTAAGGCGGCACCATGGTTGCCGCCGAAGGGCAAAATTTTTTATAATCTTATTTCTTCAAGTTCGCCGGTAATTGCATTTTTTGGAGCAAATTTTCATTATAAAACTTTATTCTCAAAATGAATATCCATTGGCGGAAAGCGATGGTATTGAGCGAGTTCATCCTTGTTTTACCTTATGCAACATAACTGCACAAAGTTCCAAATCTGGGACAAAATTTTCAAAAATCTGGTGATGGCCAAAAAATTGGCTTTGTCCCAGTCTTCAATATTATATAAAGATAAAATTTGTGACCAATATTGCAAATTTCCATAACCGAACTTGGCTCTTGTAGATTCGGATTTTAACTGACGAAATCCGAGCAGTAAACACTCTATGGTAGAAATCGGTAAATCCTGAGAAATCATTTGTTTTTTGTGGAAATCTATCATTTTCTTTACAAAAGTGAATTGCTTCGCGATAACATGATAAGTATTCTAGTCTAAGTAATTTATGTCGCTAAAAGGCTCGTTCTATTTCTCTGTTCTACCTACAGCTCAAGTTTGAGAATTTTCTGACATAGCAATGATTTTTCCGAAAATCTGTCAACTTTTGGAAGCAGAGGGGCCATGCCCCCCTGCCCCCGGCCACGATGCTCCCGAGAAAGCGTTAGAATCATTGGGTACCACAAATGTTTTTGGGATGATTAATGCTGATCTCTATAAGGCTTATTATAATGATTCTTTGTAAAATTCTTAAGAAGTTCTAATAGCTCAAATAGTTTGCTCATGCTGTTGAAAAATTATCTGCAGTTTTTAGAAATATTAGAAAATAGAATCTGAATTGGAATAAATAGAATTTGCTGGAATCTCGCTTTATAGTTAGTCAAACACAAGGTATAATGTAAAGGTTTCTGCACTATGGTCCCTTGGTCAACAATCACTTCAAGAATCGTAGAAGTTCTAACAATAATAAAAGTTGATCTGATCGAGCTGAATCCTTCATAGATGTTGAAAGTCTACTTAAAAGGTGATGTCATCCTTTAAATATGTCTTTCTTTCGCCCTGTTGGTTCAAAGTGTTTCTATGCATCGGTTAGATATGTAACATTCGCTAATATTTATATTGCCAAAGCTGTCAATCATCCTGGAAATTTTTCGAAAGGAAACCAGGCCACAAGGAACTCTATCGATCTCATTTGCCATGAAGCAAGGTTGCTCGTCGAAAGCCTTGGCCGTCAAAGTGGGCGTATTTTATGTGGAATTGGACCATCGTTTGGCATAGCTGGTGAACGTCGGGTCAGGTTAGATGTAGTAATCATAATTTCAGATTTGTTTGAGTATATCATTCCACCTGGAAATGCAATTGCTGAAGGAAGCATGAAACAGATGGCCCAATTTGGCCCAATTAGTGAATATCGAAACACCAAGTTTCATGGAGGAAGACATTTTCAGCATAAATAAATCCCCTTATGACCTTACGGAGTCCACGTTTTTTGGCTAAGGAGGCCTTCTTGTGTGCCTTCTTGTTCACAGTTTCATAGAATTCCAGGTTCCGGCAAGTAGAGTATGCTTTTTGTCCACCCTTTTCATAGGTTTTCTGCATTTCATCCATGCCTATCAGAGCTTTAGATAACTTACATTGTACTTTCATTAATACTTGACGATAATTCTCTCTCACAGTAAGGCTCAACCCTCAAATAGAACTGGGCCTTTTTAAAGGTGGTAACAGCATTTAAGGTCAAATCTTCACCCTTGGCGCATAAAACAAGATTCGCAAATAGCAAAAATTTACTCTGGAGAATAAACAAAATTCTCCTCCCTTCGCCTTTTTTACTTCGATTTGTCTCTAGATGAATGAATACTTGAAAAAATTCTACATGAACATTCTGCATGAAAAAATACTTTCAAAAGAAAACAGAGTTGAAGCAACAATTGATTGCAACAAAATATCATTTGATGTTGCTTTAAGCCACCAAACTGTAAGGGTGTGGTAACAAAAAGTTTCCGGAGAAGTACCCCCGGACCATTTTTACTCGGCTAACTTACCTCACCTACATCTTCATTTTCTTGGTAAATGTCTGCCCCCCTTTCCCTGTCATACTTCCGGCATCCCTGCAAAACAATATATGAAACTGTATGAAATACTGTATGAAATGATGCGGATTAGATACTGTATCTTAAAGATGTCAAGAAATATGAAACTCAGTTCCCACAGAAATCACCTCAAGCACAAATATCATTATTTTCAAAGCAAGCATTAAAAAGCTTGTTAGTGATTTCTTGCCCGTGCCCAATGAGGTGCCGCATTTGTGAACAATAAATAAGGCATGTGGGCTACCTATATGAAATGACATGAAACCTATTATGCAATGCAATTATGTACACTTACGTTCAAATAGTATTGGGACACACTTCGAAACTTCAAAGACATTTTATGCAACAAATTTGGAAAGACTTTTTTAAAACCTTTCTCATTATAAAAGTGCGGCAGCTATTTCCATGAAATTTTCACACGACGTTGTTGATATTTTGAAGCCTTTTATGTATGGCAAAAAATTAAAAAACGTCGACCATAAAATTTCTATAGGTCTCGAGACGAAAACATGGAAGCTCTGAAAATTCAAGAACTGAGTTAAGAGAAGCGCTTACAAATTGTTTTCTACTAAAATAAAGCAAATGGATTTCGTGAAATTGCATCAATTGTCGGCTGCTCAATGAGTGCAGCTTTTCTGGTGTGTAAAAAGTTTTTCCGTACAAGATCAGAAAAAAATTTACCAAGGGATGGCAGACCGAAGAAGTTTACGACGCCGTGGGACGAAAGGTCTTTACTGAGGAGACTGCGAAGTGATAGTTTTGAACAGTGGCGGACTGGCAATCATTTGACCCACCGGGAAAAGCAGCCAAAAGGGCGCCAATAGGTCCTAAAATCACCTAACTTTGGGGTTGTAAAACGGGATAAAAAAAACTTTGCTTTGGCTGAGAATCAGTTTGTTGCAAACATTGTCATAGGAAACGAAGCGGGGAAAATTTTTTTGAAATCACCCTATTTAGAATTTCGGAACATGCCCCATGTTGGAAATCAAACTTTTTTATTCATAATTGGCATTGGCATGAAGAACATTCTCAGTCAAATTGACTGTATTTGAAACGTCTACACGGCTGACAAAATTTGTAGGTACCAATTGATGTATTACCCTCAATTTTAGGTATCAAATGATGATTTTCCAGCTAGCGAGACACTATCTTCCAAGATTTTACAAGGAAAGCAACTTCTCTGGCCTAGGAGACCAGATTGTTTTCGATTAAACTCAATCTCGAAATCTTTAGAAATTTAACGAAATACATGACTTCATTCTCATAAATTTTTGAAAGTTTTGCAGCATATCTTTGAAAAAAAGTAAAGGGGGCGCCTGTTCAGACCTGCTAGCCTAATGAATGTGTTTCTCCTGCCTCTACGCTAGAGTTACAAATCATTTACAAAAGATATAATGCCAGTACATCAGCGTGTGGAATTATGATCAGGTATTGAATATGTGCCTAAAGCTTTAGACTTGTCCGAAAGATATCTGATAACATATCTTGGACAAATGAATTCTAAGAGACCCTGCTGCCGTTCGTTTTGCGAAAAATTACGACTTTACAGATTGAAGGCTCTTTCTATATGAGAAACTGTGCGAAGACATGGTAAAAAGGGCAAAACATTTCTCAAGAAAAGCACAGTCTCTATTCCGGAACAAAAGTTTGAAGGAAGATTGGAATACTTTAATAGATAGCTGTAAATTTAAAACCACTTCTTTTTCAAAACAGACGGTTCAACTTTCCATTAAGTTTTACAAAAGGCTCGTACATGATGGCATCAATTCTCAACAAGTTCCGTATAACGTTTTTTAAAATGTGGTCAAGATTTTTGGCTCCAATAAGTCATAATTCCTTTTGGGTACAAAATTTCTGGTTGTAACGTACAAAAAGCATGATGCCTATGAGTTTTTAGTTGAATTGCAAAATAAACTGGCTTGCCACCAACAGGACGTTCAGAAATTATAAAGTTAATCATATAGTTAATCTAATATGGTTAATCATAAGTCATGGGCTTCACAAAATTATTAGTCACCTCAACAGAAATGAAATTACTTCAAGTATTGCGCACTTACTTGAAAAAATTAAAAACTAACGAGGGTTGGAAGTGAGAGTAGGCCTTCTGGCATCAAAATTTCGTGGAAGTGAGAGTAGGCCCAGGGGCGAAACTACCGGGGGGGTGTGGGGGGGGGTGTGACACCCCCCCAATCCAAAAAATAGTCTATTTTGCAGGGCAATCGAAGATTTCGCAGGGCGCCAAGAAAAGCTTTGTTGCCACGCAGAAATGCCACCTCTGAAGTTCGTAAAGGGCCGTTCACGAATTTTGAAATGGAAATATTATATTTGTTATAAACCTCCCTTCCTGACATTGCATTTTAGAGAACGGAAAAGGTATGTCAGGAAGAGCTCCGTTATTAGCAAAGCGAAAGCATTCCTTACCGAAAGTCATAGCCAATGGATGCAATGATTGATGCATATGTTTATGAGGGCAAGACTGAGTCCATATAAATTAATTTAAGTTGTAAATTATTTTCATGACAAGCACGGCGTCACTGGGGAGGAATAAGCACTTTGGTCAAGATAGGAATTTTTTTATCATTTTTTCTATTACTTTTTATCATTGCATGAACTAAAAAACATAATAATTCGTTAAGGTACCGATTTTGTTTCATCTAATTGCTAACTTTTTCACGTATATTTCTATTATTTTTCTTTTATTTGCATTAATTCAGTAAATCATTTTCTGTATCATTGCAATGTTTAAATTTTGGATGAGTAAACATGGCCTTCTCGAGACAAGAAACTGCACATTTCTGTTCAGGAAAAAAAATTCTCCCAATCAAAACAACATCTTCCTCTGTCATTCACAACTACGTACAATCTGAAACGAAAGGTTGCGGTAACACTAGAGTTTTAGCATGACATCCCCCTCCCTATTTTTCCCAATAAACAATAATATTTTCAATAAACAATCAGTTCTTTTAGCACAATAGTATTTTGCTAAATTTTTGTCTGAAAGATGCTTTTTAGCCCTTTTACAAGGTATAATTTCAAAAAATTTCTTCACGTCACGCCACTAAACTCGACTCTTAGCCCCACTGGGCTAAATTTCGTTGCGCTGTCTACATCATGTAACCCCCCCCCCCAATTAGCTGTTTATTAGCTTAATTTTGCAAACCAAACATTAAATGGAGTGAATATAAAAAACAATTTACGCTCACGTTGAGAAATAGAAATTCCATAGGCAATGAAGTTTCAAGTTTGTTTTTATTGCTTAGAAGTTTGTCCTTGGTAAAGACCAGTGTACACTGGTAAAGCGTATAAAACGTCAGAATAAGGATCAGAAAGAACAAGATGGAGGAGAATAAATGCCAATTCCTCGATCGAATTTTCCATCTTGTTCTTTTGGACCCTTATTCTGACGTTATATGCTCTCAGAAGTTTCATACGAAAAAAATTTGAGCACGTTTAAAAGTTTTGCTTTTTCAAAAGTTTTCAAAATTTTCAAAACAAAATATGTTCTTTTCAAGGTTTTCAAAAAATCTTGCAGAGTTTGCTGATCAAAATTTCGTCTTCAATGAATTTTACAATAACAAAGATCTGAAAACTTAACAATCAAACTTAACAATTAAACTTAACAATTAAACTTAACAATTAATCTTAATATTGCTAAACTTAAAGGTGAAGCTAAGCTTTTTATGGAAACGTACTTAAGACAGGAGGTCAATTGATGGTTGTAATCAATTTTAGTTTTGTTCGAAGATTAGTTGCCTTTTGGAAGTTTTCAAGTTTTTGAAAAAAATAATTTGGGGCAAAGGGCGCACCGGGAAATTTCCCGGTGTCCCGGTGGGCCAGTCCGCTTCTGGTTTTGAATCCTTACTAGAAATTATGTTGTCATGTAAAAAGAAGCTAAATACTGGAACATAAGCAAAAATATGGCTATAAAAATCATGAAAAAATACAAATTTTCCAGCTTTATAGGAAGAAAATGCTCTCTCATAGCAAAAATTTAACATCGCCGACGAATACAATGGCTTTTCCTTGAATGTTGCGCAATCTTAAAAGTAGCTTGAATAAATGCAATAATTTAATAAAATTGTAGCATTTTGTCGATGAAGTAAACCTTTTTGGAAGCTTAAAAGTTTGATTTTACAATTTCTTTTATGAATTTTTTTTGTTATGCAAACGTGAAATTAAAAAGTTGTATTTGTTTGCAAGTCGCAAGAATCCTGTGTTTTCGTGGTTATGCTTCAAAAGTTGAAGCATTTTCTTAACTTTTTATTCCATTTTGGGGAAACGTAGGCCTAGATTATTTGTAGAAAGACTGCCCAAATCTGAAAAAGTTTCCGTTGCAAAACCGAATCCAACGCAATGATATAGAAGCGCCGAAGGCGCATCGCGCCATAATATAGAAGCGCCCAAGGCGCCTTCGGCGCTTCTTTATCATTGCCGCCATCGTTGCTGTTGCTGCTCAGAGTGTCATGTTGCTGTTGCACAGTATCGAACTTTGTATTTCAGATTACACGTTTGCAAACACGAATCAGGCAACGATGGCGAACGAAGCAGAGTATTTCTTCACTCCTTATGCATTAATGTTGATACCAAGAAAATGTCATGACGAATTCTTCGTGAAGTTCAACTTCTTAGACGGTATGTGATGCAATGTTTTCTTCTTAAATAGAAGTTTTATATCTTTAAATACACTCAAATCAAATTCTGTTCATTCAACAACAAATTTTAATTGCAGTTTTTAAAAGTATACGAAAATAACTAACAATTTTAAAGTCTATTGTAGGGATACAATTTCCATTAAATGTTGCCAAGGACATTGAGACCAACCCAGAGGTTTTCTGGACTGGCCCAGTGTCCTCTTTTCTGGCCTATAAGAACACATATATGTTATAATATATTAAAACTTTGGCAAATGAAGGTGTCTCACTCACTTTGTTGGCAAATGAGGCCTGAACAACCCCCTTAAACGAGAATGCAACAGTTGCACTTCCTACACTCTATCAATTTAAGAACAAATTAAGGGGTCACCCAAAATTTGAAGATTTTTAACCCCTCTCCTGTCACCACTGTGTCACCAGCTTTCTGACCCCCCTGTATTATATTGCCAGTGATGTCACTTCTCACACTACCCCCTCCCCCTTTTTGCTAAATATTCATTTGAAAAGGAGAGGAAAGCAAAAAAACATTTTTTTCTTTATCACAAAAAGTTGTGGGAATTTAATGTTGTAAAATTTGTTTCTTTGAAAAGTTGCGAATATCATATGTTGTGATAAATGACAATTTTTGAAACAAATTTGAGCATTTGTAGTTTGCTCGACAAAATTTCCCGAAACAACTGGACTTTCTTTCAAAAAACTCAAAATGTAAAAATTATTGACACACCAGTTTCACTAAATATCTACTCTATTTTCCATAAAAGGTCTACATATCAAAGTCTTCATCTTTTTCTTCTTCATCTAAATTTTCATCTAAATAGATATGTTGTGTGTGGACCATGGTAAACAGGTGAAAACAAAAATGAAATTCTGCCAAAAATCATAAAAGTTGTGGGAGAAAGTAGCGCGAATATAAAAAAATTTATATAAAAGTTGCAGGAGAAAAGTTGCGGATTCTGAGAAAAGTTGCAAAAGTTGCGAGTTTTCCTTGCAACTTTTTCTCCCCCCTCCCCCAACTTTTTCTTTCCACAACATTTTCTTTGTTACGTTTTCACAATTTATCAAAACATCTTCTTGTACAATTTCCACAAGATTAAAAACTGGGGAAAAATTTCAAAGCATAGGATAACAATGAAAGCTAAGCCAATTTTCTGCCATTTGTATCAGACTGTTGAACACCGAATTTTCATTTTCTCTGACAAACAGGGGCCTCACGAATGGTTATGAACAATAACTCGATCCTTATATTCTTGTATATTTTTAAACTTTCCCCATTTTCTAATCTGTTGAATTTTCCAGAAAAGGACGAAATGGAAATCAAATCACACATTCTCAACACAGAATGCAAATTAGGTTTTAGTTTAATGCTTAGTTTAATTTAAGTTTAATGCTTAGTTCAGTTAATTTGAAACTGTATTAAGTTTTGCTTTTTTCATAGATAAAAATGTTTACATGAAAACATAAAATGTATGGACAATGAAAAGTTATGATAGGACCATGGGGGTAGCTTTCGTGAGGTACCATAAAGGAGTTCTGATGAAGATTTTTTCTGCACCTTCATATTCTGCTGAAGATAGGCCTGTTGCTATGTACTAACCCTTCCTTTATGTAAATAGCAACTCGAGTCTGAGTCTCTATAGATATAGCTCACTGCAATTTTCCTTAGAAAAGATGATCCCACTTTCACCAAGGTGACATCACAAAAGCTGGAAACCCCGTCCCCTTCCTCTCTCAAAGTGTCACCTTCCATCACCAAAACTGTAAAAACCCCTCCCCCCTCTGCAAGGGCATCATTTATGTATGACTCTAAGAACAATCTAGCCTCTGATTTGAAAAGATTAAGAACAGTCGGCCTCAACTTAAATTTACTGGTTCTTATAAAATTGTGAGAGAAATCCTGTTTCCATGTTACTAAGTAATTATTGTTAGATGTTTGATATCAGCTTATTTTGATCCAATGGACCAAAAAAATATAATTAAATAACTGATTTCCTATTTTTGATGCCTTGCATGGAGTATTTTCTTTTTAAATATTGGTTTTGATAAAGTGCCTGGTCATAGTAATGTTGTCACTGAAACAAAAAATCTTTGAATTGCAAAGTATTTGAATTGCAAACGAAACAACTCTCATCTTGAAGCCCTTGGTGTGCGAATCATGTGTACATGTTAGCTGCAAAAATTTTTAGCTGAAAGCCGTTTTCAAATTTCTTTATTCCTTTTAAATATATGTCTGTCTTCTTTTTTCATTCAGTTCCATGTTTGAAAATTGCTTTGGCAAAGGCTCTTGGTTATGGAATTGTTATTGGATCTGCCATGGGTAAGGTTTAGAAATGTTCAAATGATATTCTACTAACGTCTCCATGTTTTATAATTATTTATTAGCTCTTCGCTGGAAGTTGTTTAGACTTATTTGATAAGATCTTTGTAGAACTGCACTCTTTATGATCTAGCTTACGTTTTAAAAATGTTTGAAATTCAGTAAAGGATTTGAAAGACTGAGGGTGACAAACATAAGTTGGAATTATTGCTGTATAACATGTCTGCATTACTGCTTGAGTACAAGCAACTTGGAAAATTGTGTATAGACTATAAAGTGCTGTTCTATTTGTGCTTTAGAACATTTTTACAATTTAGTTTGAATAATTCTTCAATGCCGGCCAGTCCATTAGAAACCCAAACAATATACTGCATGTCTCTTTCCCATAACGTGTTCAAAATTTACAAAAATATTGATACCTTCTTAAAGAAAAGAGTGGCAGAAAAAATTAAATGTTTGCTACTCATGTTTTAGTTTTCTTGTCACTCCATTCTGTTATATGATTGCTCAATTCAATTTTACAGTAAAAATACCACAAATTGTAAAAGTCCTCCAAGCAAAAAGTGTTGTTGGCCTTAGCTTGCTGTCAATCCTCATGGAGATAATCTCACTTCTGTTCTCGGCAGCTTATAGCATTGACAAAGGGTTTCCATTCAGGTATGTACTTGGACAATACAATCCTTATTTTGAATATAGAACTGGATGAAAGGGCAGGTAATGTCCCCACGTTAAAGGTTCCAATCTTTTACACTCTGGTGCAATTTAAGTAAACAGTGTTAATTTGTGGTTATCTTAGAATTTCTCAGCTTGGACATATTAGCCATTTCAATTTCTTCTACTTCATTTTATGAAACTTATGGCTTTAACTTTCCTTTCATTTTAGTGCCTGGGGAGAATCTTTCTTGATGGGCCTGCAAGATGTGCTGCTTGTTGTCCTGTACTTTTATTACAGTGGCCAGTTTCGTTTCACTTTCTTGTTTGTGCCAGCATATGCTGCTTCCTTTTATGTCTTAGGATCAGGCATGACTCCACTTTCAGTTCTTGAGAAATTGCAAGCATGTTGTATTGTCATGCTGACAGGTAGCAAGGTAGGGAGATTTATTAAAAAACTTGAGCTTATTTGTTTTGTTTTGTCAACAATCCTAGTAGGCTCAACCTGTTTGGAAATAAGGGTAACACCTTTAATATGTTGATTATTGTTTTTAATGAGTTCAAAATACACAAGAAGCAAACAAGAGTTAGATATATGCCATCAACATCTTTTTTAAGTTTATTCGTGATATAAGATTAAAATGTTTACATTTTGTAAGCCCCATTGATTCTTTCCTTTGGCTAGCTTTCGCTGTGTGTACAGGGCTTGATGGCCCATGCACTGTAACCATCAAACGACAAAAAAAAATTCTCAGAAAATTGAAAAAATTTTGGAAAAGGGTTTTTTCAATGCCAAGCATGTTGTCATTTTATTGCGCAATGTTGAAGGTATTGGGTTTGTATGAAATTTAATCAATGACATTTTAACAGATTTATTTAAACATGACAATAATAAATAAAGATTGAAAGATTACATTTATGTGGTGGAACACCAAGATTATCATTACAGGGCTTGTATTATAGGGCAAGAAAAGAAACACATTTTCAGCCATTTATTATGACTTCACATGAACTATTATAGTGTTCCTGAAGTAACAATTGCATTTGTAAAATACATATTTCTTGCCTATTTCCTTTTTGCCCTTCCTTGCCAAAAATACATATTTCTGATTGGATTGCGTATTTTGAATGTCTTTGTCTCTGTTTGTAGCTGACACAAATTGTTGCAAACTTCAAGAACGGACACACTGGGCAACTGTCTGCAATCACTGTGTTTCTTCTCCTGGCTGGCAGCTTAGCGCGGATCTTCACAACAATTCAGGAAACAAATGATATCGCATTTTTAAGACAGTTTATTGTTGCTTGTGCTCTTAACTGCATCCTTTGGGGACAAATTCTATACTACTGGAATGTAAAAGTGGACAAGCCGAAAAAAGCTTAGAAACTGAGAATACTTTCTATTGTTTAAGAGATTAGTATGTTTTCATCATATCATAGTTGTTGATCATTGAACCGTTGTTTCTTTTTTGTTATAGTGTGTTGACAGTTGTATCATAGACTGCATTTGCTATTGTTAAAGCTGATGTTATCATGAATTTCACCTTGGAAAGTCTTTTATAACTTAGCATTTTATAACTTAGCAGTTAGCATTTGGTAGTTATTTAAATCTCTTCAGTTCATTCTTAGATTATACAAATGAAAGTTTTTGATTTTAAAGTTTTAAATAAAGTGTTGAAAATATGTGTTCAATCATCTTGTGTTTTTAAAGCTGATACTGTAAATTAGATTCCACTGGCTTTTGGCAATACCAGCCTTCTATGGCTTCCTTCAAAGATTTGGTAAAATAGGAAATGCCCTCAATTTTTGCAATTTACTATGATACAAGTTGAAGAAAGGATGCTCTTTTATCCATAGATGCAGATGCTATCCAATATAACTTTTGTCTGATTAGGTAAGATAACTTCTTAAAAATGTTTGAGCAATATATTTAGAGCCTATCACAAAGTTGGACTTTTTTCTTTTCATAAAGAATAGAAATGATACCCAATCTACATAAAAATGCATTCATTTTCAGAAAAAGAAACAAATTTTGCTTACTTTTGTCAAGGAATATTCTACCTGTCAGGTCTTTCTCAGTGGTCAATGCATGAGGCTTCTCTATCTAGCTCAGTTCTTCAAGGAGGATACCTTTTAAGGACTTCACATCATCTTTCAAAATATTCTGATAAATAGGGGCAAGGATTCTGACTGCTGGTTAACTAATTTTTAAGATTACTTTCTAAAGCAACTTTAAAGTTAGACATCAAACAAGAAGAACTTTCCAAAAATTTTTTATAATGCGCAATCCTATTCAGGCGTACTGCCACTTCACAATGCTTCACAAGCTTTTTTGTGAAATATGGTTAGCAACTGAATTAATATGTAATGTTCCCAGTTATTTCTCAGTTATCACTGCTACTTTGTATACATTGCAATGTGGCCATTGTTGCCTTTGATGCTTCCAGGTTGGGGGGTGTCATCATAAAATGATAAGAAATGGGCTGTGCTCTGGAAGGCACACCCATGGCCACACCCTCTATACTTGCATTTGCGTTCAAGGGTTAATTCACATTTCAAATAAGAAATTCGCCCAATCACACATAAGCTTGTTTAGTAAGAGGGACTGAGCCCCCAAAATATATTTTTAACAAGGGATGCCATATTTCTTGTACTTGGGTTTTGTTGTTATGGCCAGCAGACCTAATGGTTTTGGCTTGTCCAAACCTGTCTTGTCATGGCTAACCTATCAAACACTTTCACAGGTATCAATGCAGCTCAAACAATTGATAGCTGACTCTAATAAGGTGTTTATAAAGTTGTTTGCCCTGCCATAGCAGAGAAACAAATTGCATTTTTAATCATATTGTAATCCTTTTCATAATACCATTGCTATACAGTTTGATAAACTGATTGTGAGACCACCAGTTGGGGTATGTTGCACGATGAGAATTTTATGGGGATTACCAAATCATCTTCCATAACAGAGAAAGATGCTACATATAAAACCGGTTATGTGAACTTTTTCATGATACCTTTGCTTGACAACTTAACCTTTTATACATATTCCTGAATATTCCTGATTATCCTTAAAAATATTTCACAAGACGACATTTATTGAAAAGCTTGTTTTCACTCTGATAACCTACAATGACTTCCTTTATAGTGAAGATGGTCCTAATTTCCAGCCATAGACATATTATGTTTTACAGACCCTCAAATTTCCAACTAAAACTTAGATTAATTCTAAAAATAAATAAAAGAATAAACCAAGGTTGCTAAGTCTCACGGTTTGGCAGTGAGACTCACTGATATTCACCCTTCTCAGTCTCATGATGCGAGTTACTCTTCTTACAAATTTCTTTCCGGGCCTCATTTAACTTTCAATTCAGATCAAACGCCTCAGTGGTTGCTGAGCATATTCCTTTCCACTACATTGTTTATGACAATCACTTGCCCAGACCTGTTGCGTGAATGATTGTCAAACACCTTAATGTATTATTATTATTGTTCATTGCTTCCATCGTTTATTGTTGCGTTTAAAAGCCTGTTCGCTTCATTTTTCTGGAATGTTTTCAATGTGATATAAACAAATGTTTAGGCACTCTGAATAGTTTAGTTTTAAGCCATTTGAGCATAAGCCATTGTGTATACACCACATAAACATTTTGCATGCACTCATTTTGCATCATGAATTTGTATTCAGCACCAGGATTTCAACTGTAAGGATTCAGGGTATTTAGTTTCAATAACTTCCATTTCTCAAATTTTCAATGTGTCAAATAATTTCTTCTTCTGCAACAAGCTTTCAGATTCTCAATAACAAGTATTTGTTACTCTCAAAAAGCTTTAGCATATCTATTACATATCTTTTACATTCAACATGTCTGCTAAATAGCTTTTACATTTAGCACAATTTATTACTCACAAAACGCCGTTACATATCTTTTCATTGCAATGCCTTTCATAACAAGATCTGAGATTTATTCAAAGTGTTCAAGCATTGATCTTAAAGCCCGAATTCTTGTAAGCCCAAATTCTTGCAATCAGACACTGCAGCAGTCATTGTGATAAGGTTTAATGTAGTAAAACTTCTGCTTGAAACATCATTTATTTACACTGCCATCAGATATTGTGCCAAATAGCTGCTTGGAATGTATTTTATCTAGACATGTTTTAATTAGGCTTTTGATAGAAACAAAATTCTGAAATTTTTACTATTCTTTGTCCTAAAGTGATTATATACTTGCTATACAAACAAATTTGTCATAAATTGCACAAACCAGGTCAAAAAAATTAATATGTGATTCATGATAGCACATTTTTTATGGCTTTTGAGGACAAACATACAGATCACTTAAAATACTTCAACTGGAAAACTACAGCTGTTGCCTATGATGCGAATACAAAAGTTATGCATTAACTAAAACAGTGTTACTTTCAGGCAAAAATTTACTGAAATTAACAAAGTGCAGTTCTATATATGAGATTCTGAAGCATCTTTTTGATAAGCTTTGTTGAAATTCAATTTTTGCTTGTTAGTCATTTAAAGTGAACTGTGCAAAGCCACGTAGTGCTTTATCATCTGGTTGTTCATTCAAATCAGCATGTGAGTGCAACGGAAAAATAATTTGCTGCTCATTAGAAGAGACAACCTTATTGAGGTTTGCAGCTATAACAATCAAGTCAACACCGTCAATCAGACCAGCAGACAAAAGTTCTTGTGCAACACCATCAACTGTATCTTGTCCAGTTGAAAAGTCAAATCTAATATCATTTAGTTCTCCTTCATTGTTTCTTAACCTTAAAGTGATGTCAAATACTTTTGGCTCGTTTGCTTGAGTTTTTTCTTCTTGTTGTTTTGTGTCTTCCTTTCCTGCTGTCACATCAGCATCAAGGTTGTTTGTTATTTTTGACTCTTTCTCAATAGCAGCAGCACCTTCTTGCACAGAATCTTTTCTAACAGACTTTGAATCATCCTTTTTAGCATCACTTCCCTTTTTGTCAGATTTCCCTTCATCATCATCATCATCTGACCATTCCCAACCTCCATCTGGGTTACGATGAAGTCTCCCACTTGATCCTGGTATTCTTTTCACCTTCTGAGCTCTCTCTCCAAGACCTGGTGCTAGAGTTAACAGATTTTGTTGAAGAAACTCTTTTCCCTTAGCTTTTTTAAAGAAACTAAGCTTTAAAAGTTCATTTGCACTTGGTCGATGGACAGGATCTTTTTGTAGACACATTGAAATCAACTTTCTAAAGGGTTTTGAATACTTTTTATATGCATCTTTGTTTCCATCAGCACAAGTATCAAGGGTAGGAGGATCGTTTTGCAGTGTCAGCATTAATACCTTCATTGCTGGGAACTTTGCATATGGAGCAGTTCCTGTTGCCAGCTCCAAGGCAGTGATACCAAAGCTCCAAATATCAGATTTCTGGTCATAACCATGCAACTGCTCCATAACTTCAGGTGCCATCCAGCATGGAGTACCAACAAAGGTCTTTCTCAGCTTTGGCTTTGTCCTGTCACCATAATCAGTGACCACAGCACTGACACCAAAATCTGCCAACTGTACTGCACCATCAGACCCCAAGAGGATATTGCCTGCCTTAACATCCCTATGAATTTGACCATTCTTGTGGAAGTAATCCAACCCTTTCAAAACTTCTCTTAGGACTGTCGCAATCACGACTTCATCAAGAACACCCTGACATTTCTCCTCGGGTGTCATGTTCTTTGACAAATGCTTGATGATGTCAAGCATTGAGCCCCCATCAAGGAGCTTCATGATTATCCACAGTTCAGACTTAACAACAAATGAAGTGAAATAGTTGACAACGTTTTCATGATTACATTGACTCATAGTATGAATTTCCTTCTGCATTTCATCGATACTTGCACCACATTTCTCCAAGTCAATACGCTTTATTGCCACCTTCTCGTTTTTTGGTATGTAAATGGCTGACTGTACTACAGCTGTCGCTCCATATCCAATGACTTCAAGTAACTTAAAATCTTCTTTACTATTTGACCAGACCGATCTATGTGGGCTTGTCATTTTGAATTGACTTCCCAATTCCCCAACAAATGGACGGCCTGTGTAATTCGTCTTAACTTTCCTTCTTTGGGCAGCGCCGGAAGAGTCTCGTTACCATATAACCTCGTGATGAAAGAGCGCCATTTCAACTTTTTATTGTGAATGCCGCGCAAAATGGCCGAGGAAAAGGCAGCCCCGGGAAGGAAAAAAAGAAAACAATGTCAACAAAGATTAACTCCATCAAAAAAGTTTGAAACATCGAATGAGTCATATACAGATTTTATGTGCCCAATATGCCTGCAGCTGTTGATCCAGCCTGTTGTATTGCCATGTAAACATGAACTTTGTATGCCCTGTTTTCAAGCTCACGTCGAAGCAACAAGTTTATGTTGCCCTATGTGTAGGGTTCGTATATCGAACTGGGCGAGAAAAAAGGGTCGTGAAGGTACGCTTATTGATCAAGAAAGGTGGAACGTCATTCAAAAATTGTTTCCTGAAAGATGCAAACGAAGGTTAAAAGGCGAGGATGAAGAAGACGACAACGATGTACCAATGAACTGTGAGTATTATGTCCCGCACATACCCTAGACTGGATAGGAAGAATAAAGGTTGTGACTAATCACGTTGCAGGCCTCTGATGTTTGTCTGCAGGATCCTATACCCGTTCTAGAATTAAACTCAAAATCGAAAAACGTTCTGAACGGATGACAGGAAATATCTGACTATGGACTGAGTTTACTTCCTTATCCTGGTAGATTGCCGTATTATAGAACTTCTAGTAACAAACCATCTAATAGATCATTCTTCGTTCTATGTAATTCCCAGGGTACCGGAAGGACCCAATTCTTTCATTGTCTATTTTATTTCAATTTTTGATTCTTGTCTGTGTCCAGTTGACTGATATTCATACAACTGAGGTGTTAATTTCTGCAGCCAAATTAAGGACCTAGAACATTAAGCCAGACATATGACCTCCTAGATTAGTAATTTGTTGAAGGTATTATTAATAGAATAAGCGTATTTTAATGAAATGTTTTGAAAAGTGACCAAACGCTCAAATTGTTTATCAGGAATGTGTAGAATAGATTTTGGAATATCTATACAATATTTCCACTCTGTAGTCAAGCTTTTTGTTTCATCATTATGGCTCCCACTCTATTTGTGTGTTAAAACTGATTTTTGGCATGAATGCCTTTGTATATTTATAAAACCTAAGGTTAAGAAAATCAAAGGTGTCATGTTTTTAATAAAGAAAGAGGATTAATCAGGATAAGGAATAACAGAAGGAAAACTTAATCCATAAAACATGCAAGTAAATGGGGAAATGTATTTTTGTCTAACCACGTTTGTTGTTAGTGAGAATGCTCACACAACAAAAAGAATGCCATGCCCAACAGATTGTAGCATTTAGATGAGCAACTTAAGAAAGTGATTGAGTTTATATTATCAAAACAGCGTTCAGCAAGTGAAAATTGCACTATCCATATTTGCAAAACCAGCCCTGGTAATATTAAGCCAGCGATCGCACGCGCACGCCTCCACACACACCTAAAACTCCAGAGGTGTGCTTTCTATTGCACGCCCAGTTCCATGTTTTGAATTACTTTTCCTTTTTCTCATTTGTTTCTTTTAGTTTCTTTAAAGTGATTTTTAATTTATTTTGTGTGGGCTGTATTGATGACATTTTTGGGGGCGTTTTAACTCTTTACCGCCTGGTTTCCATGACTCCTTTTTTGTATGTATCTGTCCTCTCCTCCATTCTTTTCGTATTTTCTTGAACACAGTACCCCAGGCCAGTCTGTTTTTGTCAAAATGATAACGTGAGTGTTTCTATCACTTCATATTTATCAGTTCTAATATCATTTGCAGGGCCCGTGGCACAAATTTGAAAGTTGAGGGGGGGGCAAGGGTAGAAAAAGGAGGGGGCCAAGGTTTCTTACCTCTTTTACTGCAGCTTTAAAACTACTTGTTTTGCAAAGAGGTGGGAGGCCATGGCCACCCCCCCCCCCTCCCACTCATGGCCTGCTTTGTTTGAGATCTATTTGAAACTGAGATTGAATGACTTCGTTTTCAAATGCCTCTGTCTTCGCTGTTCTCAATAAAACAACATGTATTCAAATGATTCCGTTTTTGGATGACAAGAAATCTTCCATTAATATTGCATGGATTGGAAAGTGTTCACCTCTTCAACGTCTTCTGCCATTCCCACCCTCTAACTGTACCTCTTAAAAAAGTTTCAGGCACATTTTATGTGTGAATGGAGACCCTTTTAGACTAATCTTTGTAGTCTATACCAGAAAGAGTGAAATTACCATATAAGGAAAACGGGCAGCTATACACTTTGAAGATTGAATTCTTGTATATCTATTTAGTCTAAAATTCTTGCTTATGTCACAATAGGTGTGATTTTTTCATATGATAAATTTTGTATTGCACAAAGATAATGAAAGTAAGTTATAAGCATTTTTATGCTAGTTTTTTTGACCAAATAAAAAAATATATTTCAGGTGAAACCTTTCGACCTGTTGTTGCAGAGCAGGGTGAGCTGAGAAAGGAATATGAAAAGGAGCTTTTAAAGGTACATGTTTAAAAAACTTTGAATTGAATTTACTCTAAGTCTTCATACCCTAAAATGTATTTATTAAAATGCCTTCACAATTTCATCTTATTCATCGGTCAAATCTAAATAATCCATTCTAAAAAGCAACCAATGAACCAATGGGGAAAATTTGTGACGTGGAAGGATTCAGTCTTTCTAGGGCTTTGAAAGTTTTGCTCCCACCATTTGCTTGAAATTTCAGTTAAAGTGTTTGTTAAATTTTTAGGTTGAATTAGAGAAACAAGAAGAGATGAAGGCAAGTGAAGAAGTTATCAAGAAAATGGTAGAGGAAGAGAAACAAAAACAGGAAATATTAAAAGAGGATGAAATGATTGCAAAAAAAATGCAAGATGAAGAGCTAGATAATGTATGCATCACATTTCAGTATGTTTCCCAGCAATTATTTCTGTTTTTTGTGACCTCAGGAATAATTTCTGTTGTTGCAGTATGTTCCTCAGCTGTGATTTTGTTGTTGTAAGGATTTGTTAAAAGTTTAGATTTTAAATAAAGCCTTCAACTCCAATAAAATCCATGGTTTTAGCATCTAAAGAATGCAGTATGAGAAAGTCATCAGCTTAAATTTCTCCACCTTTTTGTGCAGTCATGTGAGTCAAGTATACTTATAGTGTCTTGCATATTAGATGTCTACTATATGCCTCAAAAGGAAATTTATTGCTTTGTAATCGCTTTTTGCATCTTTTTGTGAAATACTCTAAGGCCCTTAATAGAAGGGGGGACGCTTATTAATTTTTTGATTTTTTTCTGACCCCACCGGAGCTTATTTGGACCCCCCCTGCTTATTAATTTTAATATGCAATCATTCATATCCCTAATTTTATTTTTCCTTTGTTCTTTCAGATGTAAAATATCTGTAAAGTTTCTCTTAATAGAAGAGGTTGCATTGTACAAAAGTTTTAACATTGAAAAGTAGTATAACATCCAAAAAAATTACATAGGCCTGGCTGATGTACACAATGATAATTAGCTTGCTCATTTTAGTAATATAACAATGCATTATTACATGGTGATGATTGTAATTTTGCTATCGATTGTATTCAGAAGAAAATCTCATTTGACCCTAAAAAAGAATCATCACATGATTTTTCAGATTTTTTACATTTCCAACCCCCCCCCCCACTTACCAAGACCCCCCGCTTATTTATTTTTTGAAAAATTTCTGACCCCCCTTCTATTAAGGACCTTAGAGTATTGATTGTTGTGCTACATGTTTTTCAGGCTGGAGACAGACTCACATCACCAAACTCAAAATTGAATCATTTCCTTGAGGCCTGCAAAATGCCACAAGAGATGGTACTAAGAAGCAGTAACACAAATGTTCCTTCACAAAGCAAAAGTAATAGCTGTCTTACAAACTGGCTGGCAAAATCTTGTCCAGGTATGAAAATGTCTTTTAAAGGGTTATGAAAATTAAGTTCTTTAATTAAGTTTTCATCATGTATTATTTTTTGGCTATACAATCATTTTGTGAAAATTTAAAAGTTATTTATTTTAGCCCAACAGAATTTCCATCAATTTCTTATTGAAAAATACATGTTCAGTTCAGAAGCCATGTGAACTTTCTCTGGTGCGCAATTTTGTTCAAATGCTTCCGTATCAATATGATCAATGTGATCATCAGTGTTGACCACAAAATCAGTACATTTGTTCTCTATTTGCACACATTTTACATTCAACAAATTCCATTCAAAATGTATTCCTCTTCAATAATTACAAATTGCAATTTCAGCTGTTGTCACACTGCTGAAATGTTGATTTTTTAAAACTTATATAGCGTTCTAAACCTAAACCGGCAAAAAGAATAATAAATTTTTACTATATACTATAACAGCCTCACAATTGTAACTAATCCTTCAGCAATTAAGGTGTACAATAAAATGTAATATTAGGGAACTGGTTTTTGTATACAGTATTGAAGTATTATTTTAGCTGACAAGCTGGCACAGCCAAATGGTCTTGTTATACTTTGCGCTCTTTAGATGTATGATAAGAAACTCATGGTATGCTATAACTACATACTATATCACAAATTATAATCAAGGTTCCCCAAGTGAGTCTGCAGAGGAATTTGTATCCCCTCATCATCTGAAGAGGACTCCAATCAGGACACGACAAGAGCAGGAAGACTATGAATTAGCATTTCGACTCCAAAGGGAACTTGATTACGAGAGCAAAGGCAGTACTCCAAAAAGGCATACACTAACAAAGCATTTCTACCCTTTGCGTCAAAGAACTTCAAGCAGCACTGAAAGCCAACCAGCAAAAAAACTGGAAACAAGCTGACACAAGTTGTTCAATCAATAAATGCAACAAGATTTCAATTGGCTATGTGGTTCTTTGGTAAATTTCTTTACTCAAGTTTAAGCAATTCTGGAACAGCATGCAATTCCCTTCCTCTCCCTGTCTCAAACTGCCCTCTCACCCCATTATTGGAGATATGAAGATTACATTGCAATAAATTGTAGAGGAGGTGTGGGATTGTCACCACTGACTTATATCTCAAGGCCTATCATTTATGTCACAAAGCCTAACATAACATGTCAGAAATTTTGTTACTTCTTATGCGTGGAACCTTTGTTTTGCTTTAGATAAAGGATTATGATTGTCGAAGAACCTAGCAGCCAAACAAACCAATAGAGTGTAACCGTATTTTTGCATTAGGGCCACAAGTTCGGTTTGAACCTTGCAGTTGCGCAAATGAATTCACCAAGATTTGCAGTATGATTGTAGTTTTTATTATTGAAATGGTTAACTAAGTTTTTGCTTCTAAAATTACTTTTTATCTACGTGAATATTGCGATTTTAGTCATTTCATCACTAACGAACGTTTACATATAGATTTTGATTCAATCTTTTTCTCAACCCTATATGTTCTAGATATACCTTCACGCCATACAACAAAGTCGAATTTCTTATTTAATTTCTTTTTATTCGGGGTAAAAGCTTTGATCTGGGACGTTGATGCTAAGGTGTTCTTTGTAAAGATGAATAAAAAGCCAGGTGTTTATTTTCGATATATGAATGACACATATACTTTTTTCCAAAACGAGGCTGATTGTGATATTTTCTCAAATGCCTTAATAGCCTTCACCCAGCCCTGAAGTTTTCTTCAGTTTACTCAAGTTTCTAAATGTTTTGGTTGACTAAATGCTTCAGTTTACACTCGATGGAGTTTGTTTCGCCAAAAACAAAGGAACATCAACCTTATCAAAACGTTAATTCACAGGGCACTGGCGATTTGTTTCAAGTCTAAACTCGACTCGGAACTTGACCAACTGAAAATAATCTTTCTGGAGAACGGCTATCTAGAGGATGTTGTTGTTTCGTACATCAGGGAAAAATCGCAAGCTTCTCGGCTGAAGTAACATTTGGTTCTCAAAAGTGCCCGTGGACCGGTAGCAATTCCTTTCATTTTGAAAGCAAGATAAAACAGGCCATTACAAAATGTTTCTTTGCTGTTAATCCGCGTATTGTTTACAGTAAAAAAGGCCCTTCATCCATTCAAAAGGATTGCGTTCTTACCACCCAAAAGAGTTCCGTTATCTTTGAGTTTACGTGCCAGTGTGATTCTGACTACGGAGGACACACATCCAAAAAATTGGGGGATAAAAGAAAACAGCGTGACCTAGCATTAGAAACAAAACTCTCCCCCAAAGAGAACAGCCACTTTGGTCTTGCAGATCTAAAACTAAAACATGCAATTCTGCTATAGCAAACTCAGATTGTGCAAAAAATCTATAATGCTGTTAGTTGTGTTATATGTATGTTTCGAGTTTGTTTAGCTGTCCCAAAGTACAAGTTTAGCAAAACAAAAGTAAACATTTTATCTGGTGCTTTAGATAAATGAACACAAAATTTACATAGAGAATGAAACATTTTTACCACATCGTACGGTCTCTTGGAATTTCCCTAACGTATTCTTTACACATTTTTATTTAGTTTATCTGCTTGGATTGGCTTCAAAGAGTCAGTCCATCTTGTACGCGAGGCTGTCCAACTTGTCTTGACACCAGTATTAGACTGGCTCAGAATTTGTAACCGGCCACAAATAACTGAAGGGGCCCAGGTCGGTGTGGTCTGAAAAAAAGGCGTTGTCAAGGGAGCATTTCATCATAATCGATCAATTTCTAAACAACATAACATATGTAGCACTAATAGCAAAGTTGAACTGTTGATTAAAATGGGCGCTGAGTACACTAATTGAAATTCAACACAAAATAATAAAAATTCTTTCTGTTTTGGATTTCAGTAATTTTGCACAAGAGACTTTCTCGAAACAACAAAGTTAAAAGTTATATGAAAACTAACCTCAGATGCATAAAGGATAGCAATTTTAAATTACAGAATATCTTAGGTGTGAGGAAGCTTTATCTTTACTGAAACTTAAACTAAAGATGGCAGACCTAAAAATAGCAAACTAGAAAGGAAGGTTCACTGACTCGCTTTGTAGAAGTTGTGGCTCACATGCGGAATAAATTGAACGTCTATTGGATTGTACCAATTTCTATCAAAAATTCAAAATGGAAAAACTTGCTTAGCTAAATCATAGCAAGAAGGTTCCCTTTAATTTTTGTGTAATCATCCTCTAAATTGGTTTGCTGTCTGTATTTTAGACTTAATACGTGCTTACAAGCTATATTTTTCACAAAACTTTTAGGTTTATCATTTTGAAGACCATTTCAATCAAATGCTACCAGAAGTTGAATTTCTTTAATTTGCATTCCAAGAAACCAGTGATCAGTCTTGTCTCTTTTTTGCATCAACTTTGCCTTCCTTTCTGAGAACCACTTGCCACTCGAAGTTTATTCGTCCATTATGTGCAATTTGGCTAATTCTTGCCATTTCATTGACATATTTTTTATCTCAATTTTTCATTCCATGAGGCAATACCTTATCCGTTCCTTATAGATTATTTGGTAAACGAATCTTTAAGACGATGCAGCAACCCCCGTTGAAGAATCATTCGCATTTCTTTATCTTAATGCTATGGCTTGAGTGAAAGAGAAAGTTAACGCCGAGTTTGTTACTGAATCACTCCTTAATTAATTCTATAATTAATTAACTCCTGAGCTCTACAATTAATGCCGGGCAGATTAACTGAACCTGGGTCTATGAAAAATAAAAAATTTAAGAAAATTCCATCATATTAAAAATTCCAATCTCTATTAACCTCTCATAACCTAAAAAAACCATTCTTTTTTTAGCTTCGACCCAATCCATTTTATAATCACATGCTGGGACGTTTATTCAACCTCAGTTTTGATGTATTGAATGATATCTATTATTCGTAACGGGACATCTTAAGGCCCCACATTCCTAAAATGGGGCCTTTTTCGGCAAAGATGGGGCCCTTTTTGCCAAATTTTAAAAGGTGTCCGCCACTGCTTGACACCCCCATCCCATGAAAAAGTTTCTAATTTGCGACCCTGTGCTTAGGTGGGGTCAGTCTATTCTTGACAAGATTGAAAATCGTAAGAGCATTAACTGCCTATCTTGTCAGAAACAAGGCCGTTGGAAGCGGGGGGGGGGGGGGGTAAGCTGAGGGATCTATTGCCCCTCCAATAATTGTTAAACTGCATTATATTCTCACGGCCCTTTGGTCAAGGATCCTGACATTGTCCTTCACCTCGCTTGCAGAGGCACACTTTCAAAGTCCCCAGTGCCTCGAAAATCATTTATTCAAAAGCAAGTGTCGTTTGATGTCATCGAAGTCTGCAAGTTAAGTTATGAAGGGCAGAGTCCAAGCAAATTATGTTATAAACACGTGATACTTAAGTCTCGCTGTTAAATGCGAATAGTTCCCGACCATTTTAATCTCTAGGTTATTGTTCACGATCTTTGTAAGAAGTCTTTTAACGTCAAAGTTTCTAATCCGACGTAAGCCTAAAACAGGGTTAACTTGTTACAGAAGACGTTTTCCTATTTCTTTCTTGTTCAAGAAACAAAGTGCATCAGAATTGCCACAAGTTGTTTGCCTCCTCATCCAGCCTCATGTGTCCATTCAAACCGAACTTCGTAAGTGCCTGCGCCTTTATTTGCTCCCTTGAATACAATTTTTGTCATTCACAGCCTCAGTTCAAGAAGGCCCTGTGGACCCAAGTAACTTGGCATAATCACACTTTTAGCATTGCCTAAACAGTGATATAACCGGAAAACAATGTTAGAAAGATCTATTCGTAAGAATGCAACAATAGGTCAATGTTTCAAACACAGACCTGACAGCCTGGTTAACCATGATTCCACATATTTATTTGTCAACTACATCCAAACCCTGCGCTTCAATGCAATTATGAGCTGTTTACCTGAAATTTCCATAAGTTGGGCTGCATCAAGGTAAGCTATATGCCTGCCAAAGTCCTTGGTGCTCCACCTTAAATTATATACGGCATGAATATTATATACGGCATCCGCATCTCCCCCTTCAAACAATGTTACTGTATGCAAAGCTATAAAGGCTCGATGTTATACAGTGGATTCAATTCGGATAACTGTGGTATTAACATCTTCAACCATTATTGTTTTTAGGGAGAGGGGGTGCGGTGTCGTTTTTTTCCGTCAACAATTATTTTTTTCAAAACAACTCTTTGTTCGGGAGATGAATCATGCCCTTCTTCCAGATATGCACTAGCCCCCGTTTCAAGAACATTGCACATGCGCATTATCATTTGAAGCCCTGGCAGGAAGTTCAAGAGTTGTGTGGTCACAGGCAGAACGGTTGCGCGAATATTGTTATCAATGCGCATGTACAATGACCCTGCAACACTGATTGGTTTAAGACGGTACTGTTTCGAAACAAAGGACTAAAGAATAGGAATTAGGCAGAAGGGGAACTCTGAAAAAACTTGCGCATGCGTTAACTTATACGAGGCTTAGCATGTATCTGTTGGGGAAATTTTAAAAAAGAATGAAAATACACAACTTTATTTGAGACGAAATGCCCCATGATAGTGAACAAATTCAATTATGTATTATAATTCGTTTATATCTGATTAATGGATGATAATTTGTCATGGCTAAGTTCGTCTAATGGAATCGAGGTTAAAGGGGAATTAAGGAATTCTATTGTTGACTCAGGCTTCAAAAGCAACAAAGGAACCGACGAGAGTTACCCTTCTGCTTAATTCCTATTCTGTGGCTGGGCCTTCTATTCAGGGCTGTTAGAACAAAAAATCATTTATTCATGGTGAACCATTCATATTGTGACAAAAGCATGGAACTTGGTGGAGATACACAGTTGGACACGCTGAAAAAGATAGGATACAGACCCCTTTGAAAAATGCCCCCCTGATGCTATTTATAGACTGGGCTACTAGATTCCAAACTTCTACAATGGTTATAAGAAAAACTGTTCTGTGAATGGCAAAATAGTTACGAAACTTGGTAAAAATACATGGTTTGATGCAGTGGCGGAAATTCAAGTTTTCATTTGGGGGGCCCAGGCTTTCGATTTTCCGACAAGATAACATCTTGGATCATGTCTAATTATAAAGAAACTGCACATTTTGATAGAAATAAATGATTTTTTGACGGGACTCTTTAGAAATCTTTGCTAACAACGCCATAATTAAGTAGCAAGAAAAAGAGTCAATTTATGATATTTTATATCAAAATCGATATCTCATCTAAGACAACTGATGGTACAAGAGTCGACCGATTACACTTTTGACAGGTCGTACGTTCATTTTATGCATTTCATCTTGTTTTCGTCAGTTGGAAATACGTTTGAAAATAACTTTTATTCGGAAGAATCCGATGGAAATTTCGACTAATCTTCACGGAATTGCAATTCACAAGCGGTTTCGATTTTTGTCATATATTGTTTGTTTGATT